ACATTAAAAACACTAATTCAATAAAACCCTATCAACAACAAAGAATAAAAAATCGTAAGAGTAAGTAGAACTATTTATACGAAAAATCACAAACCATGAAAATTTCGAATCTAATTAAAATTGGAAATACATCAAAATACATAAATAAAAATAACATGCAAAAAATGAATTTAGATTCGTTTAACATGTCAATTCAGGTTCTGTTCTTTTGTTATCAAACCAGTAAAAAAAAAACAGCTTTATGTTGCTTATCCATCGCTCGAAAAGAAGCAACAATTAAACAAATTAGAGCTGGTGAGCCATCTTTGCTGAATACCGTTCTGCTCAAAGGGTGCAAAATCCACCATCACTTTTATGAAAAGAAACTTTAATTTAAAATTTTATTAATTATTAATCCTAAATCATGTTTTTCCATCTAATTAGTTGTACGAAGTTACTAACTAATACCAAAAAAAAACAGAGTTACTAACTAATACAAAAAACAAAACAAAAAATTACTAACTAATACACCATACAATATCTCATAAAGCAAAGAATTACAAGACTTGGTTATATCGTCCGAACCGAAATCTGAGTAAAATCAGATTTGAGGTTTTGCTCCATTAGTGTTATTAACCTTCACTTGAAGAGTAGTGGTTCTTGTCTCCATCCATTGGACAATGTCACTGAACACGATCTCTGAATTTTCCAAAGGCTCCCCGAAAAGAAGACTGTGCCACATTTCTGGATACAACTTCAAAGTCTTGTCATTAGACGAAGCCACCTCGTAAAGCAGTTTGCTCACTCCTTTATCCGTCACTTTATCATCTTCTCCATGCAATACTATGAATGGCATTGTCACCTATTCACATGCATATATCCCCAAATCAAACATTTTACATTAAAGTCTTGATTTGTTTATTTTTATGTACGGTTTTACATCCTATAATAATACAATATGTTTAACCAAGTACGTATAGTGGACTAGTGGTTTTGAAAGTATTTAAGGTCACAAACGCAACATAACTTTGATTCTATATATTACCTCGTGCAACCGATTCTCTAAGTCGAGGCTAACTCTATAAAGCTCACTCATCGTCTTCATACGAGGCCTCCCATTATAGCAATTTGGATTTTCTCTAATCTGTATTTTTAAAGGTCAGCGAATCGCGTCTCCCGAATGAAGAAACCATGGATTTTAAGCTCCATAAATTATTGGTTACCAAAAAAAATCGTAATTTATAGACGATGTATAAAGGAAATTGAAGTAGAGTACCTCTTGTCTCTTTTGAGGTAGTTTAAACGCGAGATTGATGATGTCAGGTCCCGAAAGTAACGATTTCCATGATGGGATAAAATTTGTGACCATATTCATCATAGATATAACCATTCTTGGGGGTTTCATATCATCAACAATCTGTCTCTCATCATCACATTTGTTAGTGTAAATTGCTATGATTCCTTAACACACGAAATGTAGTAATGGTAAATGCAAATATGTTTACCTTACACATTGGAGCTATAAGAATTCCTCCATCCCAAAACTCGGGTTTCTTGCGGTGCAAGAGAAGAACTACGGCTCCTCCCATCGACTCCCCCATCAAAAACTTCTTCCTCTTTATGTTATCTCCCATCTCTGCCACACAACAAACAAAATCCAGGTTACACGATTTGGTAGGGCAGAAAATTGGTGTCTTTGCACATGGCCCTAGTTTAAAAATAATTTGTCTATAGAAAATTTTGAATATGTATAAATCAGGATCCCTATTTTTTTTGTTTTACCACATAAATATATATTTACTATTGTTTTGCAATAAAACTCCATATAATCTCCTTCTGTAAATCGTCATACTCATATTAGAGATTCAAGCCGTTGATGTTAATTTATCGCACACTTATAGTCACGGCTGTTTTGTTTGCTTTTGCGTTTTACATTTACATCTGATGTATACAATTTTAAAAATAAATCCACAACCTTAAAAAATTTAGGTAAAATTTAAATGCATGCGCAAACGCCAAACAATAGTACAAAACGAAGACCTATCCTTTGCGTTTGCGCTTTCCAAAACTGTTTTCTAAAAAAAAAGTTTTAGATTCTTAAAATACAATTTTTATTCTCATGTAAATCCTAACGTAATGCTGAAAATGCCTATGAAACAAGCTAAGTTATATCTAACGTTGTGACAGTTTAACATTGTCAATGTGTAATGCGATCAAGAAAGAAGAGAAAGACCAGCTATTTTGGAGAAATGTGAAGAGACATCATTGATGAGAAGATCAAAGTTATCGATGTAGACAGATAGGCCTTCTGATCTTCCATGCCCTTCGTACTCAATTCCATGGACACCAAACCCTTGTTTTGCAAACTTAGATGCAATATCTGCAAGTAAGTATAATTCACATTCACCTCTTTGCTCCTCATTACTCTATAGATGCATATATGTATGTAGATAGATATATACCTTTAAAGGTGGTGCTGCAATCAATTGCGTAGCCATGACAAAAGAAGATGAGAGCTCTTGGTTCTTGATTTACTGGAAACCATTTGCATGTTAAGAGTTGCATTCCCCGTGAATTCGTGAAGAATTCCTAAATCAGTAAAAATCATAATCATTGACTTGTTCATTTGATGGGTAATAAAAACAATGAACCTTGAAATCGAGTTATGAAATTTTACCTCGCTATATCCGACTTGCCCGTCAACATGAGCCTGTAAAATGATAAAAGTCAAATCACATAATATATCTTTGCAAGCCAGAGATGAAGAACAAAACTAACCATATTTGATTGAAGAAAGTGTAATGAGAGACTAGCAATTAAACATTAAAAAATATATTGTTAGGTTGTTGTTTCTTGTGGAAAAATAAATGTTGTGAAAAGGGTTGAATCCGACAATTATAGTAATTTCCTTTTTCTACGCTCGTAAGAACTATTACTAATTTTTTTAGTGGTGACCTAAATTTAGCAATTTCATAACACCAAAAGCAAGCAAGCACTAATGACGGGATAAGTTTTATTTTGTTTTCTCTCTTAAATTTTAGTGAAGTTGTAACTTCATAATAATAATGCACAATTAAGTCTACTAACAAGAAGGTTCGTTACTTTTTCTTCACAAATTCTAGTTTCGCACGTTAAATGTTTTGGATAGTTTTTGATATCATATCCTAAACTATCCAAACCATTTTGGGATCTAAATTGAACTAAATGAAGTTCCATAATATTGATTGAATAACCACCCTTCATGGGTGCTTTATGGTAATTTCGGGTGGTGTAGGTGGGTTACGAGTACATTACTTTATTAGCGAAACGTCATAATATAATACGACTCAGAGTTCTTGTTTTGGATTTGCAAGAAAAAACTAAGGCAAACTAAAAAGGCGATGTTCTAAACTTCACTTTTTTCTAACTTTCATTTAAGGTTTTCATGTTTTCTATCCAAGTTAAACTCAAATATTCTAATTTTTCTATGGGATATTCTTAAATACTACGAGTCTGTATTGGATCACGCAGAGTAGATTGGGTATTAACGAAGCAAAAAAAATTAATGAATATTCTTTAGAATATATATTATTTCAAATATAATAAGCTTGTGTTTTGGTATACGTAGTTACTTTTTAGTTTAGTGCTTCAAAATTACGCCAAATCAACAAAAGATTTTGGGTTCAGCATTTTAACTTGTAAAAAATTGGAGGCTTTGAGAGTCATAATGGAGTGTCAGAATTTAGAAAATTTGGATTCAAGCGAGGATTGGGAATTTTCTGAAATTTTGTTATAAATCTTATGACACGCGCCAATATTATATTTTGACCTTTACTAAAACATCCAATACATATATTTCATGTGA